TATATACATACGTATGTGCTAGATATAGTTGTATATATATACTGTCGATCATTTTCTATCACATGTTAATCCAGCAATCTGATTGGTTGGCACATCACATAGTGCAGAATTTTTTGGGGTGTTGTTGGGGTAGTTGCTTATGGGTCGAGGTCGCGGACAGTAGATGATCTACAGACAGTGATAGACTGGTACAGGGACAGTGCAATCACGTGATATAATTAAATTATACAGATCATTTTTTTAAAAAATTTTAATCGAAATTATCTCAACAACCACCTGACCAAATTTAATGATTTTTTTATTATTTGAATTCTACAAATTAGTAGAATTCAAATAAAAAAAAATTTATCGAATTTGATCAGATGGTTATCGAGATACCTTTGCTCAAAGTTAAAAAAAATTTTACCACAGCTATTATTTTTATAAATGTTTTGATTTTTTTTAAACTTTGATCGAAGGTATCTTAACAACCACCTGACCAAATTCAATGAAATTTTTTTTATTTGAATCTTACTGATTTTAGAATTCTAATAAAAAAAAATTCATCAAGAAAATTTTGTTGCAATATTATCTTTATGGACAGTTTAATTTTTTTAAAATTTAATTGAAGGTAACTCGACAACCATCTAGTTAAATTGAATCAAAATTTTTTTATTTAAAATTTATTGATTCGCAAAATTCAAATAAAAAAAATTTACCGAATTTGATCAGGTGGTTGTTAAGATACTTTTGATCAAAGTTATTACTATCAAATATTCATAGCAAATTTTTTGATAACTACCTGATCAAATTTAATAGATTTTTTTATTTGAATTCTACTTATCTGTAGAACCTGAATAAAAATAAATCATCAAATTTTGTTAGGTGGCTATTGAAAAACCTTCAATCAAAGTTTAAAAAAATTAATTTATTTATAAAAATAATAGTTATGGCAAAATTTTCTCTAATTTTGAACGAAGGTATCTCAATAGCCATCTGATTAAATTCAATAATTTTTTTTTATTTAAATTCTACTAATCTGTAGAATTTAAATAATAAAAAATTCATTGAATTTGGTCAGGTGGTTGGTTGTTAAGACAAATTTGATTAAAATTAAAAAAAAAACAAAAATCTGAGTCAGCAATTGAGTTTTTATCACAAAAAGAAATGTCAAATAAGCTATATGAACAAATTTTATAAATTAATACAAATGAATACTTAGAAAATGAATTAGCAGAAATCAATTTTAAGTGTGATATTTTACTTGATATTAATGAGAATGATGATGATCCACAAAAATTATCTAAAACAATTGCTAAATCATTAGGTAATGCAGATAGTTATTATTATATTTACAAGGACTGTTATTCTTCAACAAAGGATAAGATTTTTACAATTCGATATAATTGTTCGCAATATTGATCAATTGCTAAAAAACCTAGAAAGTATGAATGTATTGAAAATCATAGAGATCAGATTTCAATTGATAGATTTGATTGTAATGGACAAATTAAAATTGTTCTTAATCTAAGATTAAACAATGCATCGATTCATCTTAAGCATTCAATGCTTCATAAGCGATCTAAACGATTTGGAATTGATGAAATAATTAAGGAAGAAATTAAAAAAAATATTCATCTTAGTCCAAGTGAAATATATCATATTTTAGAAAATAATTATTCTAATTTGACGCAGAAGCAGGTTCATGCATGGTGGTTGATTTTACTCAAAAAAGAATATGTACATGATAATAACGATCAACTAAATTCGGCAAAGATTTTTTTAAATAAAAGTGGCTTTAAAATTATACTTAGCAATTGTAATGAAACAATCAAGTTTTTGGGTTTCATAACTCCGTTTTTTGAAAAATTAATGAAAAATAAGGAAATTATTGTAGATTTTATTTACAAAACCAATGCATTGGAGTATGAACTTTATTCAATTATCGGTCAATTTGATGATGCTGGTTTTGCAATAGCATATCTCTTTGTTGAAGGCAAAAACAAAAAAGATAGAATTGCAACAGAAATTTTAACATTATTTTTTGAATCTTTATATAATTTGGGGATGAATAAGGTTCAATTTTTTCTTACAGATAAGGACTATAAACAAATTTCAGCTGCACAAAAAATTTGGACAAATGCAAAAGTACAAATTTGTTTGTAGCATATTAAGAGAGCTTTAAAAAAATGACTTGCAGATAATATACCTCCAAAAACTATTACATATAGTTCTTATTCAGCAAATCAAGTTTTTGAATTTATTGATATCGAATTTTACCCAGTAATAAATAAAATTCAGAAAAAAAATTTTTACTTCTGCCCTAAAGAAAAACAAGCTATAATTATTGACATGGTAAAAAAGCATATGCTTTTACATCCTTTAATACCTAATTCCAGTAGAAATTTTTTAACAGCTCAAGAAATATGGTGACAATCAACATATGAAATTTATAAATTCTGTGTTGATAATGATTTATGGCATGTTTGGTCCTATTTATGGTGTAATTGGTACCAAAAAGAAACCTGAATTTTATGGGCAAGATCTGGAATTCCAGAAAAAATTTGTTTGTTTTGAACAACAATGCTCTGTAAATCCCATTGGAAAGTTATAAAACAGGATTACTTGCCAAAATTTTTTCGTCCTTGCTTGGATTTAGTAATTTATATTATTTTTACCTGTATGATTCCTCATAATCAATGTCAATATAATAAATATTCTAATGGTCGTGAAAGACCTTCATGGAGAAAAGATTTTAAACGGAAATGGATTACAATGCAAAAAACAAAAATTAATAATGTTTATTTTACAAATACTGAAAATTGGTGTTGTAGTTGTTTAGGGTTTTTAAAAACCAGTTTATGCTATACAAACATTTAGTCCAAGCTTCTACATTCGATATTAATCCATCTTTTTTTTATTGTGTTAAATGACAAGAAGTTTATCCTTTTATATACTTCACTCATGAGAAGATTTTAAATAATTTGAAAGAAAATTTGAAAGAAGATTTAATAGAAAATTCAATAGAAAATTTATTGGATAGTTCGCAGCAAGGTATAATAATTACATTACTATATATTACATATTATATATATACATATTAATCAACTATTTATATTTTAGATAGTTTAAATAGTGCAATTAATTCAAAAAGCAATAATAATGATAATGAATCATTACAACTTTTCAGCAAATACAAATCTATTCTGCAAGACGCATTAGAAATCATTCATGATCAAGAAAATTCTGAAAATATTAAATAGGCTCAAGCTGTACAAAAAAGTTTCAAAAGAATTGAAAGCTTGGTAACAGATGTATAAAAAAAAAATAACAAACCCACAAACTTGGAAGGATCACAATAATCACACTATGTTTTTACAATAATTATCTTGGGTATATTATTTCATTTGTATTATTTTTTATTTTCGATTTAGATACGGTCAACAGGATTTATTACTGAATATATATCACAACATATCAAAACTATAAGAACATTTTTTATGATTCTAGCTTATAGCACAGATATTAATATAGTAACAGCAAGCGTTAAAGTTTATATAAATGTAACTTCTAAGAATTTCTTGAAAAGAAAACTTATTTCTGTATTTAGCACTATAATAGAATTCCTGAATTTGAGAAATCAAGTTGAATATTTCTATTAAATAGTGTCCTTGAATTCATTTTAAGCAAAAATAAAATGAAAGAATGAAAGTGTTATTTAGAATCAATGCTCTTGTCTTTGCTGTACGATACTTAATCCAATTTTATTTTATTTTGCCCTGAGTAGATACATAAAGTAATATGCAAATTTCTGTATATGTATACACGTCTATTTTATATTTACTTATTTTTAATTACAAATTAAGAAATACGCTCAATATAAACTGAATTTTAAGCAATATCATTTTATAGCTATTAAAAAAGTCAAACCTTTTAAAATCTTTGAACGAAAAAAATCTTAATAATTTCGATTATATATAAATTATTAATTTTGGAAAAGACTTCGCTCAAAAATAGAAACTGCTGTTTTTTTCAAAATTAAGCACTGATATCTCGATAACTGCCTATTTGAAATCAATAAATTTTTTTTTGTTTTGATTATACAGTTTTATAAAATTAATATGAAAAATGTTCATTGACTTCAAATAGATAGTTGTCGAAATATCTTAGGTCAAATTTTGAAACAATTACGATAGTACATTTGTTATCGATCATGTTTATGTACATTGTCGATCATGTGTTAATCCAGCAATCTGATTGGTTGGTACATCACATAGCGCAGAATTTTTCGGGGTGTTCTTGGGGTAGTTCCCATAAGCACATAAGCACGTGAAATGTTGTGCCCGTAGCAATCTCCAATGATTAAAATATTCGTTATTGTAACGGTAATCGTTATAAATATCAGAACTATGTCAAATTCAGAAGAACGCCTTAATGAATTAGTGGCCATAAAAACTAAACTTGATATTTCATTTGACTTGGTTTCCTCTGTAGTGGACTCTTGGTTACCACCACTTGACCCTGGTGAAAAGGAGAAAGAAGAGGAGGAAGAGCGAAAACAAGAAAACCAATTAACAAAGTCTATACAAGAGTTACATGCAACGAGGTGAAACTTCTGTAATCTTTTGTTTGAGTTGGACTCGTTTGCAACCACTGTCTTACCTAATATTCTTTGCAAATGAACAGGGTTGGTGGAACTAGTAGCGTTAAATACAAGTCAACTTCCGAAAAGAATCTAAAACGTAAATTAATACAAAGAAATATACATAATGAAGATGATAATTTGAATAACCACAGCGGAAATAAACAGATAACAAGGGAGAATAAATCTGAGGATGAGGACGATAGTAAAACTTCTGCTACATGTAAAAAATCAAGATTGGATTCTGTCACTAATTGTGATGAAAAAATATCAATTTTAAAAAATGATTTTTTGTCATTGTATCTCGCTAAAAGAAACAGGAAAAAAAAATCTAAAAATAAAAGGAAATGACGATAATAAAAAATATATACAGTCAGACCTCTCTAAACGCACCCCCTGTAAATACACACCCTTTCTAAATGCACAAATTCTGACCCAAATATATACACATGCACTTTTTCTTATTATTCTCTAAATAACATTGTTAAAATGTGGTCCCAGGGCTTGCACGTAGTTATTTTAAACAAATCTATAACGACAATAACATATGTAACTTAAGTTATACGTATACAGTCGTCCTCCTATACAATCACACAGTTGGGCACATAGCAAATTTTTTTCAAAATGTGCTTATATAGGAGTTGTGCTTGTATGGAGGTC